TGCTACAACCATATTATAGCTCTAACACGTATAAAGAGATGGCTGGGAACTATCATCTACTTGGGATGCCATAATTAATAAAACTAAAACCAAACCCAAACATTCTATTGCAAGACTTTAAGATACTGTAAGCTCGTTTTGCGTAGATCGGACCGCGTAAACGCGTTGAAATCCGTCAAATTAGTTTTTTTCTGAGGTTATAGGGAGTTATCCTGTTGTTGCAGGACGACATCTGGGTGGATGTGGGCGAGGACGTGGCGCAGCGTGGCGCACCGCTGCTGGCGCTGCTGCCCGTCTGCCTGCACCTGGTGCCGCTGGCGCACAACGTGACGCTGCTGCTGCGCCGCCTCGTGCGCAAGGTACCAGCTGCACACTGCTGCAGCCGCACACAGCTGCAGATGTACGCAGCTCCCGTAGACAGCTGCTTATGGCTGCAGCAAGGACGGGTCGGCACAACCAGTATAACACCACTCTCGCACACAAATTTTAAAATAAATGAAACAATTACATTTTCTTGCGATCAACGGTTTTTGTTGGTTTTATTTTTTGTTCTAACTAAAAGCGCGGATTTTAGAACATAATTCCTCATGCCCACAAGACGGTTTTTTGCCGGAGCTAAGTCTGGCTTCAAACCGGGTCTAAGTCCGGTCGTCAGTATTGTATTGTACGCCGGCGCTAGCGCGGGCTCTCCGCGCCCCGGGCACGCTGCTCGCCGCCACGAAAGCGCTCGTATACAAACCGTCTTGTGTGCAAGCTCGGATGGTTTCTACCCGGCGCCGGCAAAAACTGGGCCTTGTCAAAATCGTCTCGTAGGCAAAAGCCCTAACTGTTCAATTTACTATAACTTTAAATATTAAATTGTTTAATAAAGTATTCTCAATGATTAAATTACAAAATGGAAATATTATTTGTTAATTGATTTACCTCCCAATTAAAATATTTAGTTGGTAATTTAATTTTACCTTGGAAATATAATATGCTGTTGTTTTTGTCTTTAAACTAATTAAGGGTTTGCCTTTTATTCTTTGTTTATGTTGTGTTTTTTTTTGTAATACATTATTTAAGGATAAAATAAATATTAGGTATTGAAATTAAAACACGATATTAATTAATTCACGAACTTTTCATTACTGCACATTTACATAGCATATGTTGTCGTGGGGGGAGAAAAAGTATTGCCTGTTGCTGTTTTCATAAGTTCCACATTCTTTGTTACCACAGTTTACCTTCTATTTAATATTTATCGCAGGCATCCTTGAAAGCACTCACAGAGATCGCGTTAGTGGAAGTGGTGATCCGTGCTATCCGAGAAATTGGCCGCATGGAGGACAATTTCGAGGGCCGCGAGCTGTTGCTGGAGGATCTCCACGGATTGCTGAATAAAGTGGCGATTAAAGCGCTTGAAAGCAATCATGGCATGCAGGTAGGAATTTATAGCATCTTAGATTTTTCATTGGTTTTTAATTGGATAGTCTAAACTAAATCTTTAACCATTCTACGTGCCACCTAATGGTAAGTGGTGATGTAGCTGAAGTTGATAAAGTTCACTCACTTAGTTTAAGAAAAACCTGTTCACTTATTCCTTGAAAACAACCACTTTTTTTTAAATACTAGTAATGCTATTAAACATTACTAATATTCCCTTTATCCACTTCTGGTAAGCTTAAAATGCTTGTGTTAGAAGTGATTCACGACAGTAGTCGAATGGCGGATTCGAATCCACGACCTTTCGAGTTCGCGGTCCGCGCCCTGCCATTAGGCTACTGACGCTTACAATGTAATTGGATAGACAGATGCTGGCAACTTTCCACTTATCTTACTCATAATTTGCTGTGCGCATAACGAGTTAGGCACTGTTTAGTCCAGAAGCAAATTTAAAGACATAATAATAACATCCTCCAGATCGAATTTCGGTCACGGCGGCCAGTCTCCACAGAAACTAGCTATTTGTCCAGGACAGGTTTATATAACAGTGTTTGAACGTATGCGCATGTACAGGTGTATTCTCTATTCCTTCATTCTCATAGTCAGATGGGCTGGTAATCCGACACCGACCGGAGAGAAATCAGGTGCAAGGCCAAAAGAGGCACGGTGGTGAAACACCACCTACTTCCTGACTCCGGACGGGCTGAGAATTTCTTGACAAAAAACCGAATAACTGATTATTGGTTTGAACCGTTTCTGAATCCGGGACCTAATGATTAGTAATTGCTTTTACGATAACTAGACTAACGAGACTGCCAACGATATATTCACATTAAATGGGTCGTATCCATAGAAATATATGTCGTGTTCGATGTCCGTGGGTGGTGGCAGACGGTGATAGAGATGGAGCAGCAGCTGCGCTACGTGCAGCAGAGCGCGCGCGGCGCGTCCGCAGCGCGCGTGCGGCGCGAGGCGCGCGCAGCGCTGCGCTCGCTGCTGCTGCAGCAGCTCCACCACCTGGAGGCGCGCATCGCTGAGCCCCACCACCACACGCACGCCAACTACTTCGCGAACGGTACCGTACCTTACCCACTACTCAAGACTAAGCATTTTACGCTCCCCAGATGTCGCTAGTTGGATGTGAGGTCAACTTATTTGTTACACGATGTAATTATACTTTTTTTTAAAGAAAATAAAAAAAATATTTTGACATTACAAATGGATATAACTAATAGAATCAGGCGTTACTTTGCGGAAATCCATTATATAAAAGCTATAACGCGGATATTTGCGAAGTAAATTTTTCTAAAAGCTATTACAAATGAACTTGGACACTTTTTTTTTTTTTTTATAGAATAGGGGGCAAACGAGCATGCGGCTCACCTGATGGTAAGTGACTACCGCCGCCCATGAACAACCGCAACACCAGGGGGATTGCAGATGCGTTGCCGGCCTTCTAGAAAGGTGTAAGCTCTTTTCTTGAAGGTTCCTAAGTCGTATCGGTTCGGAAAATTCGCTGGTGGTAATTGATTCCACAAAGAAGTTGTGCGAGGGAGAAAACTTCTTCTAAATCGCACAGTGGTGGACCGCCAATCATCCAGATGGTACGGATGGTAACGCGAGTTTTGTCGCGACGTGCGATGGTGAAATTGAGCGGCTGGAATTAGTCCGAACAATTCCTCAGAGCACTCCCCGTGATAGATGCGATAAAATACGCAAAGAGATGCAACATCTCTACGCAGTGCCAGTGTATCGAGCCGATCGGAAAGAACTCGGTCGTCGACGATTCGAATCGCTCTGCGCTGGATGCGGTCAAGTGGAAGGAGCTGGCACTGGGGTGCCCCGGCCCAGAGATGAGAACAGTATTCCATGTGGGGCCGAACTTGAGCTTTGTAAAGTTGCAAGCGATGTGCCGGCATGAAATACTGTCTCGCTCTGCTGAGCACGCCAAGCTTTTTAGAGGCCAATTTGGCCTTCCCTTCCAAGTGACCACGAAACTGCACGCTATTCGATATGTCGACGCCAAGGATTCCGATACTGGCTGAGGCAGCAAGGGGAGTGCCTTGAAACTGAGGAGATACGACAAAGGGGTTCTTTTTAGCGGTAAACGCGCAAACTTGTGTCTTCTGGGGATTGAACTGGACTAGATTTAGTCGGCCCCAATCCGAGACTTTGTTAAGCAAAGACTCGACTTCAGACACAAGTTTGTCCCGGTACTCGGCGACGTTTTCCCGAGAAATATTGGCACGGCCGGTATATAAGGCATCCCCAGTGCTGTCGTCTGCATAGCAATGAATGCTACCAGTTAGCAACATATCATTGATATGCAGGAGGAACAGCGTTGGTGATAGCACGCAGCCTTGTGGAACACCAGCGTTGATAGGCTTGTAATCAGAGCATGCACCGTCTACTACGACCTTGATGCTCCGATCAGCAAGGAAACTGGTGATCCATTTGCACAATTTCTCGGGAAGCCCATAGGAAGGAAGCTTCGAAAGAAGCGCCTTGTGCCAGACCCGATCGAAGGCCTTCGCTATGTCCAAACTAACGGCCAATGCCTCCCCCTTGGACTCTACTGCCTCCGCCCATCTATGAGTTAAGTAAACTAGAAGATCACCTGCTGATCGACCCCGACGAAAACCGTACTGACGGTCACTGATCAGCTGGTGATCCTCAAGGTACCTCATGAGCTGGCAGTTTATAATGGATTCCATTATTTTGGAGAACAAGGAGGTGATGGCGATAGGCCTGTAGTTGGACGGGTCTGAGCGGTCGCCTTTTTTAGGGATCGGGTGGACCAAAGCTGTCTTCCATGAATTCGGGACTACGCCTTGGGAGTAGGAGTACCGGAAAAGACGCGTTAAAACCGGTGCCAACTCTGGAGCACACGTCTTCAGCACAATGGGAGGGACTCCATCGGGCCCACTCGACTTACTGACGTCCAGGGAGAAGAGTGCTTTGCGAACCGAGCGCTGTGTAAATCGCACATCCGGCATGGAGCACTCACATCGCGGGATGGTCGGCGGTGTGTTCCCCCCGTCATCTAGAGTCGAGTTAGACGCAAAAAGAGAGCACAACAGATCGGCTTTCTCTTTTGCGGCATGGGCCAGTGAGTCGTCCTCTCTGTGCAGAGATGGGAGGGATGGCTGACAGAAGTTCCCTTGGACAGCCTTGGCGAGAGACCAGAATGCACGGGTTCCCGAAGGAAGGCGAACTAGCTTCTCGCCAATTCTGCCGATGTGCTCAGACCTTGCCTTGGCAATGACGCTTTTGAAGGACCTGGAGGCGGAATTATACTTCTTTTTAAGTGCGCTGGTGTTTAAATCCCGAGACGTTGATGCGTCAGCCCAGGCCCGGTAGCACTCCTGCTTATAGCGTGATGCTATTTTACAGGAGCGATCAAACCATGGCTGGGATCTGCCTCCGATGGGCACCACAGAGGATGGAATAAAAAGTTCCATACCCTGAAGCACCACATCAGCAACAGAATCGGCAACAACGCTGGGATCTTCCGGCGAGAAGCAAACCCGCCCCCAAGGGTAGGATGCAAAAAAAGACCGCATCCCATCCCAATCAGCTGACCTATAGTGCCAAACACGGCGGCAAGCTGTAGATCGCAACTGCGATTGGAGCGTGAGTGGCACCGTGCTCCGGATCAGACAATGGTCCGAAGAGCCCAGAGGGGCATCGACGGAGACCTGATATCCGTCCGGATGAGAGGTCAGCAGAAGGTCCAACAGGGAAGGTACATGGTCTTCCACATCTGGGATCCGCGTGGGCGAAGTAACCAGTTGTGTTAGACCATATGCCAAAGCAAAGTCGTAGACAGATCTACCCGCATGATCGGTTAAACGAGAACCAAGCCATTCAGCGTGGTGGGCGTTGAAATCACCGAGTATCACGATCTCTGCGGATGGGACCTGTTGTAGCACGGAGTCTGCAGCCATTTGGACGTGGTCGATGAGTCGGTCTGTGTCGGCATTACCGCTATGGGACCTATAGAGGCACCCGTAGACGCGGGGATGGTCGTCGCTGTCTACGCGCAGCCATAGGATGGACAGGTCCGTACCTTCAAGGCTGCCGAGGCGTCGAAAACAGATGTCCTCTCTGACGTATACGCAAACTCCAGCCCGGGGCACAAAGGAGTGTTCCAATTTGTATCCCGGGTAGGAGAGATATGAAGTATCAGCCGGAGAGGACACCTGAGTCTCGGTTAAAAAGAGCAAGGCCGGCTTCGCCGTCTCTAGATGGTAATGGACAGCGTTAAGGTTGGAATGAATTCCCCTGATGTTGCAAAAATTCACGGATAGCGTGACAGGGGTCGCCTTGGTTGTATTGCTCCGCTTGCCCCGAGCAGCATTAGTCATGAGCGGAATTTCGCCCCCCCCAGAATACGCGGGGCAGCCTGAGCACCCACGCTCAAGAGTGAAGTAGTTTGTTCGTGGATGCTCAGCGAGGGATTCTCCAGGGGTGCTGGTACCCTCCTGGGGTAGTCTTGTATTTAATTCCACTACCATGTTGATGGGGGGGGGGGGAAATTGGGCCTCCGGCCACCTGCACTCACCAAGCGCAACGCAGAGGTAAACCTCTACTTCACGCTGGTATTCTGTGAGGTCGTGGTACCACCCCGGTTCGAGCTGGCCCATCCGTGCGACAGCAAAAGCTACCGCTTGGCTCTACCACTTCACTATATTTATTAATACAGAGTTGTTTTTCAAGGTCTGGCCAAATTTAATACTTATATTTCATTATCTCTTAAACTACGCGTCCAAATAACATATTATTAGGAGCAAAGTTTATCTCCATAAAATTGTATTGATGATTATATTAACTTTCGTTGGTAAGGAAATATACCATGCCTAATAATAACGCTCATAAATCACTTTAATTTTGAATAATTTTTTGTACCTTGTTGTGGCGTCTGTTTAAGAGATAGGCATATGGTGCTGCGGACTTTTTATAGATGGAGTAAAGGTCTCTACTTTTGTAGAACATTGTATTAACGTATCACTAACCATTACGCCAGCCCAGATAAAGTTTGAGAGCGCTTTTTCTTCTGACTTCCTTAATTAAAATAAATATTTAAGACTAGCTTTAAAGTGTAGAAATATAAAAAAAATTCAAATCGAACTGGTAGCTACAGACATTAGCGTGTTTAAGAAAACTAAAATACTCTTCCGCTTTATTATATTAGTATAGATGACTACTTCTAGCACTTCCATGTGACGGAGTAGCGAACTGTCCAAAGTCTAACAGCCATTGGTTAGCTGCAAAAATTGTTTTCCGATTCGGTGATACACGTGCGTTAATTCCTTGTCTTTGCAAACGTGGTAAAGACTCACTTTTATATAATCTTTGCGCACAACGTAAACTTTCATTGCTTAAAATGTAACACCGTAAAATTTCATAGTATTTGTGGTTCGAAAAAGTACATAATTCTTAAATAATATGTCTTTACATAGGGCCAATAACAGTCATCCACTTTTTAAAATTTAGCACGAATCAGAAGTAAGAAAAGAAAAGTAACAAAAACTTTGATCAAAAACAATACTAAATTTGTCATGAATAGAATAGAATAGAATAGAATGATTTTTATTCAATATTGATTATTACATGATACTTGTGTTCGCGCCAAACGCTAATGTCAAGAATCGACGCCCAGGGGGCGCGCAGAGCGGTGATTTCCTACCGTTTGAAGTTCGCGCGAGACTGGATTGGTTGCTTGTGGAGCGGGTCGGAAGTGATTGAATGCAGTGCAGTGACTAGCACTGCGTGAGTCGTCCGGTATAACCTCTATTAGTGTCGGTTTGTTAGCAAATTTATGCAACGACGGGGAATTTGTGGAGTCTAGAAAAATAGACGCTGGGTCGATTAATTCTTTGGAAGTTAATGTTTAACTGTACCGTCGCGTTAAGTGCCTTTGTGTGTTGTCTATGTAGTTTTTTTGCGTGCCAGCTAGGCTGACTTTGAATCTTAATGCGGGCGTAGTATTTAATATCTTATAATCTTGTTGCTACGTGAAACGGAAGTGACCTTTGATCCACCGTTCATTAGTCGTGCCGTGTGTTACGTTTT